ATAATAATATGTGTACAGACAACGCTTACTCATGTCACCCTAAATGGACACTTAATCGTATGAACTCATGAAAAGTCAATATTTTGAGTTTTCCCCCCATGTTTTTCTAGTTTTTGTTTTCCCTCTAATGACAAAGAAAGTCCTTCCTCTCCACGCTGTTAATTAACACCACTAAACAATACAATATACATACAAAGTAGCTTTCATCTCAAATTTCAAACTTGGTTATCTATGTCAATGTCATATATGACTTAACTACCAAGGTCACTTAACCATCGTTTGGACTGTTTAGCAACCATCAATGATTTAAAGTCCGGTGGAATGAGAAGTTAAAAGTTTAAATCTTATTTTTCATCGCTTTGCTACTATGTGGTTTTGTTAAATCCATACAGATGCGTAGTGCACCCATCTGATTTGATGGTGGTTCAACTCCCATCAGTTCCTTCATTGGTCCAATTGGGCATATCTTTAGAATATGTTAGAGTAAGAGTAGGAGTAGAATAAATGGTGATAGTTGAAAAGAAAAGAAGTAAAGGCAGAGTTTGCCCAAAAAGTCTACACTGTATACTCCAAGAAATGGAAAAATAGTCAAAGAAGTCTAAATTATTGCATTTAAAAGCTGAAAATTGGCACAACTCTTATAATAGTAAGATTTGTGTCAGATTCTTCCAAACTGTTAATGTCAGGCTTAATCACGTGATTACAAATAATTAACTGTTTGATTAAGAATTAATGCACAACAACTCTTAAAGTCAAAAAAAGACCATTGGATAAACAGAGACAGGGGGGCTGCAAGTTCATCCTATATGAAAACGTCAATACCCATCAGCACATGGCATGGCATGGCAATAGAGTCTGAGGCTGTTATCAAAAAACGAGATTAGTAGTTAATTAATTAATTAATATATCATTAGACATGTACATTTCATAAACGCATATTTGTCGGACACTCAATTAAAAAAGGGCATTGGAAATGTCGTGGAATAGAAAACATAGATTCCTGAAGCCGCCTAGCACGTGCTTTCAAATTTATTCTTCTCCCAAATTACTTGTAGTTTTAAAAGCTTTGTTTATACTTTGTTTGTTAGGTTAAAAAAATAAGGAGTCTAAATTGGCTAATGCTATGTGGTTCTAAGAAACGTAGCTTTCAAGTCTCACCATTTTATAATTGGAGATGCTCTACCGTATTTGTTTATGGTCATATATATATATATATATGACTTTTTAGTTATTTTGGTGCAGGGAGAAATTACAAACCTTATAATGTGAAGGAAAATGAGCAGATGATTTGAGAGTCAAACCAAGAATTTAACAGTCACATAATTAATGCCTCTATCAATTAAATTGGGAATTGAAGACTCATATATATGATTTAACTAAATCAGTCTTCATGCCAGAATGGAAAAATTGTCTCAATTTTTTTCTTTATTTTTTTGTCCACTAGATGTTGCCATATTCAACTATGACTATCCGGGGTGCCTAGTAGACCATATAATGTGTCTCCACACCATATAATGTGTCTCCAATCCAATCTAGAAGCTGAATTTTTTTTTTCCACCAGGATTGTGCCAATGTAAATTCAATAGGTGTGTTAAGATTCTTAATTGCGCGAATGTCCTCCTGAGCTCAGTGAACAAATTATTCAGGGTTTTCAAGTTTTAAAGTAAAAGTAATCAAAATTCAAGTATTCTTCTCGAAACTATAAGATTTTAACTCCCTTTTTTTAACAATTTTTTTTTGATGAAAAGTTATAGTTCAACCTCAATTGCACTTTGGTTTTAATTTAGATTGGTGTTGTAAGTCGAAGCTTGATCCAGAAATTGCACAGCATATATGCATGCCCTTGTATTGTTGTGGCTTTAATTATGGGAAACAGCCAACAAAGCAAAGACAGGATTACGAGTCATTCTGCAGTCCACTCACCAAAATGTAGATGATAATGTTGCAAGAAACCAAAGCTCCTACGTTCTTCCATAAGTATGCAACAATGCTTTTGGCGATGAGATTTTGATCTTATGATTGAGGTATAAAGCTCCCATGTTCAAACTTCACCAAGTTGTGAATTTATTTTGACTTTATTCTTTTTTTTCACCTTTTTATTTTTTACCCTTCCAATCCTTTCTACCTCCAACCGTCGTCAGACACAAATTTTGAATCCTGAACCTGATAGTGGGGGAAAAAACTCAAGATCCATCCCCTGGCCATTGGGCAGAATCCAATACAATCTTACTAAGTAGGGGTGTTAATTGTACCTTAAATCAAGTATAATTGATTGCGCAGTTATAGCATGTGTTGTTATTGTAGATGTAATCTTATAAAAAGAATACCAGTTACTTCTTTCACTTGTTCATTTTTACCCAATATTTTGTTAAATCTAGCCGGGCATGACTAGCTGGTAAGAGGGGTCCAACAAAAATCAATTTTCTTACATCTTAAGTATGCCCACTAAGATCACTTAAAGGGCTAAGAATGCACATCTTCTCAATTCTTGATGCTGGTTAGGAACTACTCGGTAGGAACAGTCTGGGACCAATTATTAGACATCCAAGATGTGGTGGGGAAATTCAAAGGGGCAATAAGAAAATTGAAAAAAACAGCCACTAAATCATGAACTCAAAAAAGTTGAAAAGGGCAAAGGAACTCGGTGAATCAAGAGCCACTAAATTCGAAATGAGCCATTTGACAAATGACTGATCATCAAATTTGTGTCTCATGACAAATAAACACAAGAAAGAAAAAGGATGGGATTCTCGTTTTCTTTTCTCATCTTTCAAATCCATCGTATAGAACCCAAAATAACAGAAAATTTTCATGCACCACCCAAAGTGCTTTTTTTTTTTTGGGTTTGAATAAATCCCAAGTTTTATTCTGTGCAATTGTTTCTCAGATTACTTTCTTCTTGCGAGCAACTAGAAGAAGTAAAACAACAGAAACATAAGCAAGCAGTCCAGGTTTTGGGGTGCATGGGGTAGAAACGAGGGAAAGGAGGGGCATAAAATGCAGCAATCCCTAAGTTCGTTGATTGTGGTGGCGCAGGAATGAGTGCATGGTGGTGGCTGGTGGGGAAAAAAGAGAAGAAACAGGTCATGTGGAAGCAAGCGTGTGGTTTTTCCCAACCCTACACGTGAAGATGTCTTCTTCTGATTTGTTCGCATGTAATTTGTAACTACTACTCTAGTCTCCTAGTTCCTGCGCCTCCAAAAAGCTCTTATTGCCTACTGCTCCCCTTTTGTATCCATTTGCCTACAGGACCCCGTCCCTTCGAGTTTGGGACAGGAACTGCCAGCACCATCTCCGAACGGGAAAGGGCACCATCCGTTGATATCACAATGATTGTTTGTGAATGATCTAACACATTTTGAACAATAATTAAATGTGTTTTTCTAAAGGATGCCCACAGTACACATATTGAGATAGTTAATATTCACTTAACCTATCATGTACATACATATATTAACAATTATTATAAATTTTTTCTATTTAATCTTACCCAGCTTTCCTTGTATTTATTTATTTTTTCTAATTAATCTCACATTTTAAAAAATATAACACCTAAAATATATTTTAATACGTGCCTTATGAGCACCTATTAGGCATACCCTAATTAAACATCGTACTTCTATTAGAAAATTATACAAATAATTAATAATGAATTATAACATGTTCAAGAGTTATTCTATTCAGTTACTATTCTATTGGCAATCATTTCTATCCTCTTATTTTTCGTCTTTTGAATCGTGTGTACTTTACATAATAAGTTGCACTTCATTGTAAATAATTAAAACAATATTATAATATGAATACAGTTTCAAAAAAAAAAAGGGAGGACATTTGATTCATGGCTTGCAAAAGCTCAGTATTCCTAGTAATAAAAAATTACATGTCAATATGTAAAACCTACTAAAGTATGGTTCAACTAAACATAAGTATCCATACGAAAGCAAATACATCAGGGAAGAAGTTCAGAAAAAAAAAAATTAGACCAGAATGAATACATTATGTTATGGTCAAAAAGGCATGGATTGATTCCAATTTTCCTACCCCTGTCAAAAGCATAGGAAATAAATAAGACACCCCATTGAAACATAACATTGACAAATATAATTCATCCTTAGAAAAATATAGGAGTTTATTCCTACATACCACTCGTCACTAGTTCTTTACTTTTCAATAATTCTCGATTGAAACAGATGCTATTTATGCACACTACCCATGACTAGTAACCCACTGGCTTGTTCTTTTCAATAATATGAAGGCAAGGATATATTTCTCTTATTCTGAACTTTGCAAAGATCAGGAAATTTTTTTTTTTTTTTTTAAAAAGGATTCAAAATTACAACCAACAACCTCATGGCCAATGTTATTACCACCTGAATTGCGTACGCCAAGGAATTTTGTTCTACAGCTTAAGCTGGAAAAGATTTGTTTTTGCTTTTTGGAGCTAACACGCCTTGAAAATCTTGCCAATCGTTGCGTATGCAAATTTCTCAACCAGTCGCCATTTCGGCCAGTTTGTGTCACGATAGAGATTTGTCGGTTTCATGATATATTTCACTTAGAATTTTTGCCTACCAATTCGAAAAGAAAACATCGAAGCTCCATGCACCATACGACTGTTTTTTTTTTTTTTTTTTTTGGGTCCGGAGGCTAATTCCCCCAGGTTGGGCAGAGCTTCGCCCCAAAGCTAACGAGAATAGTAACATATAAATTAAGATAAGAAACCAGAGCTTCATTTAAAAAACAACTATTTATAAACTATTGTATTGTCCGCGACGACTTTTGACTATCAAATAATTTTTCATCATAAATTAGCCACTAAACTAACTAATCAACACACCTGTAACCATTTTCATCTACTATTGCTCTTAACCTACGAAATAATCAAATTCATATAGTGAACAACTACACCTTTGCTTTGCATTTGACATGTGTTCTGGTTATTTTATAAATTAAGAACGGTAATCAATCAAATGGCCACGAACGTGCAAGCAAATTATTAGTTTAGCAACTAATTTGTAATAAAATATTATTTAATAATCAAAAATCGACACGACCAATAGTTTAATAGCGTTGAAAGTTTTATCCTTAGAGACGGGTGAAATGGAATCTCGGCAAACGGCAAGAGGGTGCGTCGGTAAAGCAGAAAGGGAACGTGGACGAACGCAGAGTTTGTCTTGGCAATACATTTATTACTTTCATGTTACTACTATTAACTTCCCACATCGAGGTTGTAGAATAGCCCCTTAAATTTTTGTTCACCAGAAGCCCGTGGGCTACTAGCCAAGCAGGGCACTCATTGAACGGGGTGCAAAGTGGATTTCCCAGGGTGGGCCTCTTAACTCCCCTGCCCCTGCCTGGATGCGGGCTTTTTGTCCGCCGAAACTTCAATGTTTTTAATCATGGACTAAGTGAGTGGGCTTTAACACAACCTCTTAGAAACTTTTTTTTTTTTGTGTTGGGTTCAATAGTTAAGTTACTTCCTTAGTTCTTTTTCATCCGAGAGAAAGAATTGTTTCTGAGTGTCCTGAAATAAAAAATCAGCTCTGATTAACAGTACAAAATGAAAGGGAAAACATGGATATTTTTTTTCTGTGACGCAAAAAAAGAAAATTTCAACCACATTTGAGCTGAAAGAAGCATATGATTTTTCAGTGTGTTGAAACAGTATTAAAAACATTTCGAGTGTAAGCTGTAAGTTGCAGAAGCAGGACAGAACAACAATAGCTTGCATTTAGAACAACAATAGAAAAAACAATTATCCAGTGACTCACATAAGCTTGCAGAATTCATGCATATGCATGATTCAATTCTATTTCATCCTAAGCATGCAACGCTATGTCACTATTATATAGCCATTCAAAAGAAGTCGCTAAAGTGAGCAAATACTACCTGTCAATTTTGAAACCCTTGCCATGGAAATGCAAAGAACATATAATAGTATTTCAAATGCACTGTAAGTAGATAGTCCAAAAACAATGGCCAGTCTACCTCTAAAAGAAAATTAAGCATTTAGAGAATGAAAGCACAAACAACCACTTACACTATTGAATTGCCTCGTGCCTGTTGTGAAACCAGGGAATTGACTATAACAGATAAGCCCACCCCAAGATCTATCTAATAGACAAGAAAAAGAAAAGTAAAGAGGAATTGCTAGTCAGGCACTTATCTTTAAAGATATCTATCAAAGAGAAAAGTGTAGGCAGCTCAAGAATCTTACCGAACCAGTGCCGTAGGCATCTGTTTTAGCATATTTTCTAGGTCAACAGCCAAAATACACAAGCAGGTGGAAAGCATCTGCAGCAATTACCCTTGTAGCCAAAATTGGAAATTTCAAGGAAAAGAAATGCAACCTTAGCAGACAGAAGGGAAAAACCACGATGTATTTAATCATAAGACAAGCTGCATACCATAGCAACCAAGGTAAGATGAGATATTTGTCCTAAAAGAAAAGACACCACTTTCCTGAAAAGAAGATCTAAATCTGTATGGAGGATTAACACGTTTCTAATGTAATAATTTGCATAAACTAAATTATCCCAAATGAACTGTAAAGTATATGTATCTAGACGCTTTGGTATTATGCAGGTAAATAATGCATAATCAAATTCACAAACATAGATAGAGCACAAAAAATTCTATGGATATGCATTCACCTTCTAGCTGAAAAAGAGATCAGCAGCAACAAGATCGGCAAAGTTGCAATCACACATATCCATTCAGACAAAACTTATAATAAACTGATGTCGGCAACAATTGCAATAATTGTGTGTGCAAACACTATGACAAGAAAGATAAAGGATCTACATGTGCTGGTAAAGAAATTTGAAGTCCAGGCAATGAAGCTGCCTATTTAAGATTAGTTGACAACCAACCATCCGTCAGTCAACAACCTCTTTTGAGTAAACCATTTTCAAAAGTATCTCAAGACAAAACCTTCACTCATATACCTGAGAACCTCAAACTTGTTGCAACTCTAAAAAAATTAACAAAGAATGAACCCATCTTTCCAAAGGATTGACATGTATAGTGTAGCATTTAAGGCCCCTACCTAAAATGCTGCCCCGCAAAAGCGGCACATAATGATGTGTATTCCTCATGTGTATGTGGAGAAGAAAGTGAGGATTTCAATACAGCTAATTGTTCCTAATGAATCCCCTGGTTCCACATCCACCATTATTTGCAAATATATTACATTCAAACAAAACAGCTGAGAAATAAAGCACTTAGAGTTAACATATTTCAATATAGCCAGGACAAAGCAGTTACAGTAAGAAATAAAGAAAATGGGACAAGGAGGAAGAGGAAATCTACAACCATCACAGCAACAACAGCCCTCAGGCTTTTATTTCCAGCAACTTCATCATCATTTTTCTTCATAGAGGCTTCTGCAGCATTAGGACCAAAATAAACAAGAGATCCTGATCAATACGCAGATAGCACACAAATAATAGCGCTTCTCATCCCTGAGATCATCAAGTAAAAATACCATTCGATATACATAAAATTCATAAATATGCCACAAAACAAACATGCAATATGAATGAGAAACTAAAATCATTCACTGTTATTTGACATAATGCATTCCAATCCCATAGACAGAAAACCCATTAAACTTGCTTCTTTTCAAATTTATAATCATTCAAAGCAAAAATGTTACTTATAAACCAAGGGCTCAAAAATTGTTATTCCCTCCAAATCATAAGATGCAATGCATATAGACTTCTCAAAGGATTTGGAAGCTGTAATCCACTTTAATTTTAAACCCAACCAAATGGAACCTGCCAACCTCAGTTTCTTCTCCAACTACACTTAAAACATCATCTAAAGCAGAATGACAAATAATTTCCGCGCACCAGCACGAAATCCATTTTTGTTCAGACATACAGACAAATTGATGCAATAATTTCGCTTTATCAAATTAAGGTGATGGAACTAACTGAATAAACTCCTGTAAAAGATCGGATTTTACAAAATCAAATTTCCGTATAATACTTACCAATTATGACACTACAGCCAAAGGTTCGCCATAGAAGTATTAAACTCTGAAATCACAAACACGAAATCTGTCCACATATTCTTTTTTCAATTGGTCTCAAATACTTAGTAATCATTTACAAATTTTTAACCCCAATTCAAAGAGAAAAAATAGTGGAGGAGGGAGAAAGTTACTGGTCTTCGAGCTGCTTGTTGGGGTTGAAGGATTTGAGATTGGAATCCACTTTTCTGACAATCGACGAATCATAAGCTTGATGAAGCGCCTTTTTAATTAGGAGTATTTGAAAATTACCCAACGAAACGACGTTGTTTGGAGAGAGTAGGAACTAAGCAGTATTTGTCATTTGTCCCACATCAAATGACTCTAGCTGGCCCAGCCCTGTCGCGTGGGCTCCTAGCCAAGCAGGTCAGTCTCTGAACGGGGTGTAGGCCTGTTTCACGGGTTCGCCGGCCTAAGTTCTCTACCCCCGTTCGAGTGTGGGCTTTTTTGAGCCCTGCAACTTTATTTATTATTATGATGTCATGGGCCGAGTGAGAGGGATTTAATTTTAGCAGCTAATTTGATCTTTTGCAGCCCCCTTTGTTTAGGAGTATTCCAACCTTTTGATCAGACTAATTCCACAACGGATCTTCTGTCTCATTTTTTGTATTACTCTTTGTCCCACTTTTTATTATATTACTATTTCTCATTCATAAATATCATGTTTTAGGTAGCGCTTGGTTCGCATGTTAAAATCGGATTCGAATTCGGATTCGGAATCATTCATTCTAGATTTGGAATGGAATCAATCATTTCAATACATTTGTTTGGTTCAGTGCCAGGAATCACTCTTTGTCTCACTTTTTATTATATCACTATTTCTCATTCATAAATATCATGTTTTAGATAGCGCTTGGTTCGCATGTTAGAATCGGATTCGAATTCGGATTCGAAATCATTCATTCTGGATTTGGAATGGAATCAATCATTTCAATACATTTGTTTGGTTCAGTGCCAGGAATTTATATCATTACTATAGTTGCTGTTTGGTTCGTTGACTTTTTGTAAATGGGATATAAGAAATTTTCACTAATTAAATATATTAGTATAAATGTATTAGTAAATTTAGTATAACTAATTAATAATTTCTATTAGTAAACATGTATAATTATTAGTATAATTGATAATATTAATTATATTACATAGATTAATATACATTACATAATACTTATAACTAATAATATCATTATTATAAGTTTGTAACTAATTAAACTAAATATTATATATATAATTATACAAATTTTATAATATAAATGTATAATTATAATTATCATTATATAATTTATTAATACTATATACATGTATATGTTATAATTATATGCACATAATATACATTTATAAATATACATATATATTATAAATATATAAATATATAATATTAATAAATTTATAATATATATTATTGAAATATAATTATATTTAACTAAATAATTATAATATATATTTATATAATATACTAATATTATAATAAAATATATAATTATGATACAACATTATAATTATAATATATTATATATAAATATATATATATGTATATATTATAATATAAATATATAATTATATAATATATATTAATTATACTAATATTATATAATTATAAAGTATATTATATATTAAATATAATTTTTATTATATATTAGTATATTTATAATAATAAATATAAATATAATTATATAATATATTATTATTATAATTATATGCACATATAATATACATTTATAAATATATATAAATAATATAAATATATTATTATATAATATTAATATATTTATAATATATATTATATAAATATAATTACATTTAATTAAGTAATTATAATATTTATTTATATTATATATTATACATGTCTATATAATAATTATAAATATATTATATAATTATATTAATATTATAATAATTATAAATATATTATAATTATATATATTATATACATAATTATATATATAGGTTGTATATAATTATATATGGATTTTTTTTAATGGGTGGCGGGACGAGTCCTATTTCTAAATGGGAATCAGGCTTGGATTTTGTCCAAAACCCTCCAAGTTACTAGGGAATTGAGGAATTCTACATTTTTAGGTATGATTCCAAAATTCCGATTCCGAAAGTAGTAATTCAAACAACAATTATGGGGTTTATTCCAATTCTCCATTCCGAAACCCTCTTACCAAATGCCACCTTAGTTTTTAGTTATTTGCTTAAAATCCAATAACTATTAATTATGGTTACTACAACGTCAGAACAATTAGTCATGATCTGATTACAAAATAAATACTGGTATAATGACTAAACTGCACCTAGTTTTAATGCGTATTGGCTGAACCCACATCTAAGGGGTGATTATTATTCAGAAAGGTGAGAATTTTGAGAGAATTAATTTTAAAAAATAATTTGGCTGTACTCTATCTAATTGGCGTGATTGTTTAATGCTTTGTGTGCTTCTTTAACATAAATACCTGCAAAATAAATTTACCAGGCGGGGCACTCTCTGAACGGGGGGTTACATGGGATGGTTTCCCGGGTTTGCCCTCTTAACTCCTACACGTCCTGCCCCAATGTGGGCTTTTTGACTTAGAAAGTAAATGATAATCATGCGTCTATAATTTTTTTGAAAAATTATACTCTGAAGCAATTTCAAAATTATATTTTAAAACAATTTCAAGCATTATTATCTGCTATCGTATGTGGGACTCGAACAATCTTGCCTTTCCGGTATTTACTTCTACTAACAAACCACTTGATCACATTTTAGGCCCTATTTAATAATTCAATTCAATACTTAAATTTAATGGATTTAGATTTTAACATGTTCAGACTTGTTTGATAACCAAAACTCGAATATTTGAATTAATTAAGTGGTACTGAATTTTTTAGACAAAATTTTACTCCAAAAAATAAGTGATAGTTATTCAATTTTCACTTAATATGATGTACACTTAAATGTGTTAGATTTAGTACTTAACACGCACTTCAATAATTTAATAAATTCACACTTCGAATTTCAATTTTATCAAATGCACCTTTAGTCATTTTTTTTTGGCTCAAGAGAAGATTTCAAGTCTTACGAAAGAAAAAAAAAAGGGAGATTTGAATTAGTAATCTAATACTAGTTTCTTTTTTTTCCCCCATATTGTATTGTTATCCTCAGACATGGGTTATATTTCATACCCTTTCAATTTAACATTAAACTACATGTTGTTGCTTTATTTAATCTTAATAGGTACTTTGATCTTTTATCCTTTTAATTAATACATCTTCCATCATCATGGAATCACAAATTCCTATGCTCGAATTAAAAAGGGTTTAAAGGATTATCATCATTTGTTTGTACATTTTGTCTGTGCAATGGCTAGTGACACCTTCTTGAAACTTTTGCTTTTCTTTGAGTTCATTCCCAGACAAATGTTGCAAAAATTAAATTTCAAGTTTACTGATTCCGCTTTCCTTCTTGAGTCTCTAAATATTGTCCCCAAAATCCAATTAACTAATGGGACACTAGCCAAGCGGATAACATCCCCGTTCAGGAAAAGCTTTTTTTTAATATTTTTTTTGGTAAAAAGGGAATTTTGAAATAGAATCTGAATTTTTTTAAATAGAATCTGAATTTTTCAACCGTGACACATTGGCTCTGAATGATATGGCAATTTTTCTCAACATCTTTTTCATTTTGAATTTTAGCTCCTTTTAGTTTTTAATTATTTTTCTATTGTGATTAAACATGGAAAATTGACAGTAAAGTAAAAAAAAAAATTTTGCCAAAAGAACACATAGAGTTGAATTTTTTATAAAATAAAAGATTTTTCATTAAAAGTAATTCTCAAATGGAAAAATACTAGCTTATTAAGATCAAAGAAATAATCACACTGAAGTTCACAACTTAAAAAAAAATTGCATTATGGGTATCACTGTTAGCAAAATAAACCAAGTTTAGAAGTATTTATTTATTTATTTACTAGTTTCATCGGAGTTAAGATTTTTAGTAGCTGTGTTATTTAGAAATATGTGTTTTATTTGGTAATTATTGACGTAAGTAGTTTTCACCAACAAGTCTGTTAAGTTATAAATAAGACATTAGTTTAGAGTATTTTCTTAATAGAGACCAAAAGAATTTGTAAGGTTTTATTATGGTGTGACTTTTTTTCACTGTTTTGAGATATCAATAATGTTATGAGTTATTTATTTTTTCTTTCCTGCATAAATATTTTGGGTAATTATTTTATTTCTTCAATTCTGAATATATGCATGATTATTATTATTAGAATCATAAAATTTGGGTCCTACAATCACGGAAACAAACTATTCCAAACAAAGAATTTAATGTATTTTGGCAATAATGTATGAAAAGATGACTTATTGATCCTAAAATGGTTTCATAGAATTTCTTTGGCATTCTCATAATAGGACTGCTAATAGCTTCTCATAGCTTAATTTGTCGTCATACTAGAACTTAAAACAGTCTCCCTTATTTTTAAATAAAGGAACAGAGAAGCCATAGACCATTTCTAGGGAATTTATGCCTTGCTTTCACAGAAACACAATACAAAGAGTTTTGCACTTAAAGAGGTACCAGAGAAAAACCGAGTCCGAATTCAGAAAAATACAAATACGGCCGAGCGACAGGTGCAAGTAGTGAACTAACTTGCCTTGAGCAAATTGATCGCCAGGCAATGTATAAAACGCAGTAATTAATGGCAGATGCATGATGTTGATTGAAAGGGGAAAAAAATGGCAGATACAACTAGTGGTTACGTCCTCTTTCGTAAAATCGTGTTAAGGATGCATGACTATGAGAAGAATAGTTTCAATCTGCATTTCTACAATTCTCTACACTCCAAGCGTGAAGCCAAAAGGATCCACTACCCCAACAACACCAGATGGACAGGCCACAAGGTTGTCTAGGATGTGACTGCCGACAAAGCACCATCGTTGAATTTGGCTCGTAAGTTGGAAGCCTGTATTGTAGGCGATGGCGAAGATAAGATTAGGTTGCCCCCGGCATTAGCTATAGCTTCACTGTTACCCTCAAACGTTCGTGTACATGATTCAAGATTGAGAGATTCATCCATTACGACGTATAAATGAAGTAATTAGCTGGGATAAGAAATTAAGATTGATCATCTGTAATGCTAATCTAAGCCTTTGAGATTTACAGTTATAATTTTCACTTTGCATAATTAGGGTACAAAATTGCATAATTCCTTTAAATATTC